ATTAATCTTTCCTTTAAAACTTTCCTATCCACTCGATCAAATGCTTCCTTTAAATCAATAAAACATGTAAATAATTTTCCTCTTTCTTTGCTTAATTTTTCCTCAACAATGTGTTTCAATGTATATATAGCTTCTATTACTCCTCTCTTTTCTCTAAAACCAAACTGGCTTTCTGATAATTTACCTTCGATTTCCTTTTTTAACATCTCGTTTAACATACTCGCATAAATCTTATATGCTGTACATGTCAATGTCACTCCTCTATAATTTTCTAACTTATCTTTATCACCTTTTTTGTGAATCAAACAAATCGTACCTTGCCTCCACTGATCCGGTAATTCTCCTTTTTTCCATACTTTTTTCAGCAATTCCCACAGAGCTGCATCCACTTCTCCCGGCATGTACTTCCACACTTCATTTTCCAACTTGTCTTCTCCTGGTGCTTTTCCTACTTTTAATCTGGCTATCTGCCTCTCGAACTCTTCCTTGCTCATTTCTTTCTGATCCTCTGCATTTGTAATTGCCTCTTCCTTTCTTGTCTCTTCTCTCACAATTCCTTTCTCATTCTTCCCATCTAACTTTTCCATAAAATACCTTTTCCACTCTTTTACTGTGAACTTTTTAGATATTTCTCTTCTTCGTTTTTTCCTGTACTTGTTTCTATATCTCCACACTTCGACTTTCGATGTTGCATTTTTTATCTTTTCTTCTTTTAATCTTTCAAACCTTTTCCTTTTTGCCTCACACCAGTTCCTATACTCTCTTTTTTTATCTATGCAATAACTTCTTTCTGTTTTCTTTTTTCTCCACTTTTTCATTATTATCCTTAAATCCTTCTTCTTCTCCTTCCATTCTTTATCGTGCCATTTTTTATCCCCCATCTTCCACACTTTACACTCTTTTTCCACCTTAGGTACTGCACTTTCTATTTTTTCTTTCAATTCACTCCATCTTTCTTCAACCTCTTTTCCCTTCCGCTCCTAGTCTTTACACTTTTCTCCATACTGATCAATCAATTCTTGAGTCCAATCCCTCCTTGCCTTTGTTCTCTCTTCTTTCTTTACAATTCCTACCTCTACTTCCTTTTCTAGGTATACTTCTAACGGCATATGATCTGATTCCGTTCTTTGTCCTATCTTTATTTCCTTAATCTGATCTAACGCTTCTTGACATTCTATTGCGTAATCTATTACCGACTCTCCTCTGCTACCAACGTATGTGAATTTTCCTTCTTCTCCTCTTTGCCCATTTACTATGCAGCATCCTTCTTCTGTTATTTCTTTTATTAGTCTTCTACCTTCCTCGTTGATCTTTTCGTCTTTCGACTTTCTTAACCTTACGTCCTTGTCGTCACTATCACTCTCACTATCACTTTCATTAATCCAACCTTCTTCTCTTCCAGTTCTTGCATTCCAATCTCCTAGTATAAGTACACATCCACTTTCCTTCGTTTTAACTTTTTCCTTTATAATTTCCATCGTCTCTGCTACATTTTGACTATTTACTCCTATGATCTTCCTCTTCTGATTTCCGTGTTTAATCTCCTGCATTACTATATTATCGCTCCATACTTCATGATTTCTACTCTCCAATTTTTTGTTTATTCCTAATATTACTCCTCCTTTCGCTCAACCTTTTTTATGCTCTCTAATCGCTGCTATACACTTCCACTCATAACTTTTTGACAACTCACTTTCTACATTAGCCCACTTGTCCTATTCCAACCATGTCTCTACTAACATTTTCACTTTAAATTCACTTAAATACTTCCACACTTCACTGTCCTTATGTAGCACTCCCGCAATGTTCCACGCACAAACACTAACATTTATTCTTCTCACTTTCTCCTCCTCTACATCTTCTTGTTCTCCTCATTCTTGGCTCCTTCTTCTTTCCTCTGCAAAATCTCTTTTCCTTTCATCAAATCTAAGCCATTTACCATCGATCAAAATCTTCAAATATCCAACTTTTGTACTTTTTCCTTTGTTCCTCTGCTCTTTTGACTTGTTTAAAATAATTCTTTGGATCTCTCTTTCTCTCTCTGTTAGATCGCTTTCTATGTAAACTCCTCTCTCCAGATGTTTTTTGTTTCTCATTACTTCTTCTTTCATTCCTTTACTTGCCAGCTTTACTACCACTAACTTCCTCACATTTTGCCCAGCGTTTACACTTATCTCTTTAGCCTTCTCTATCTTGACTTTTACTTTTATCTTTTGTTCAATATATTCTTCGACCTTCTTCTCCAGATTCTCTCCTTCAATATTTGCTCCTTTTATAACAATGTTCGGTCTCCTTTTCTCTCTCTCAGCTTTTTCTGTTTCCCATTCCAACTTGCTTATTCTTTCTTCTAACGCCTTCTTTTCTTCTATTTACTGTTGCCTTTCTTTTATCCACATCTGTTTTTCATCTTTCTAATCTTCTTCTCTTTTTTCTAGACTACTAATCATGATGTCCAATTTCCTTTCCAACCTGCTCATCTTATCGTTAAATTCTTTATTCTCTTGATTTTCTTTTGTAAAATTCAATAGAGTATGTTTCTTTAATTTTGCATTTGTATTATTTCTTGTACTAATACTTGCTGCAGGCGACTTTCCGGTCATTTTTAAATTTTGCCGATAATGCAGTTTTCTACTTTACCTACTTCTCCCTTCTTCCGATCATACATTATATTTACCAGCCTTACTTGACAAAGTAGTGCTCTTCCTTACTGACCTCAATATTGCTTTTTTTCAGGATCTTTTCTTATCTGCCTCTCAGATTGCCCCTTTTATTGACCTCTTTCTCCAATTGCCGCTTCTTTCTTCCTATAATAACTTTTCTAACCACACTTTCTTTCGAACTTCCATGCACTTTTTCTTTTACTATCACCACTTTAACACTGTTTTTCTGTCCTCTTGTCTTCGTTTTTTGGCTCACTAATACCTTTCTTTATTATCCCTTATTCTTACTACACACTCCTTACTTTACTTACACGTGTTCCGTTCCTTTTACCCTGACACTACCACACTAATCTTACTTCATCCTTTCAAACTTTTATAATTATTCACTTTACACTTTTTTCTCTGCTGCTTCTTCACTTTTTACACTTCTTCGTACTTTTTATTTCTTTTATTTTTACTTTAATTACTTTTTATTACTCTTTTCTACGGAGCGCTCTCTCGACACGTCCGCACTCTCTCGCATGCACAACGGAACTCAATAAGGTTTTTATATTATTATGTAACATTTTAGATGTTAACGTTCACTTTAAAGTTGATTAAATTATAATGAAAAGCTTAGTTGAGTTGATTTTATGTTAAAAATTGACAATATTATTAAATTTAAAAAAACGAATAATCTGAAATTATTCAGAATAATAGGTTACTTGAGATTATGTTATAGGACTGTTACAGCAATAGCTTAAAATTTATTAAGTGTTATTTTTAAGGCGAAGGTATTGTTTAGCTTGAATTCATGCATTTTACATATTTTAACGTAAAACACTACTATGTCCTAATTTATGGGCTATTTTAAGGCTACGGTAACGGTAAATGATGTTTGGAAATTCATGCTGAGGGACTACGGGAGTTAGTGGTCGAAGTTGAAAGCTTTATATTAAAAACTGTAAGTATATACTAATTTTTTTAGATATTGATGTTGCAGTTCATTTAGAGCTTCTTTTGTAAAGCCATTGGTTGTAAAGCAATAGGTCGCAAAACCTTGTTTTGTACACTGTAGAACTCGATAATAAGAGCTAACTTATGATTTAAACTAAAATCACACATTTAAGAATGATTTGATTTAATTATCTGACTTAATGGTAACAAAAATTATCTCGTATGTTAGGTGATGTCAATTTTAAGTTTTGTAGCTGGAATTTAGATACATTTTAATGGAACACATTATTTTTCTCCTTAAAAAAGTAACAATGACAAGTAACTGATGGTTATAATGTTTGAAATTTCAAAATTTCAAAATTTTAAGTTCAGTAGAATTTTTCGTAATTGGGTAGACTTGGAACTTTGATGTATGCAACAGCAGGCTGAGTAATCTGAGAAACCATGATTTTTCGGTATTAGGCATTAGCTAGTTTTATGAGAAGAAGCAATGTAATTGCAATAAAATTACATTATAAATATTGATTCAATTAGATGGGCTTCTTTTAGTAACCTTTAAACATTATTTATTTGAATGGATGTACTGTTACAACAATAAGGCACTTTACTATTTGAGCTCTGTACTGCAGTGTAATTATTATAGTACAGCTTCCATAGTAGAAAATGAGTTAAAAGCACACCACACAGTTAAAATTAAGTTTCAAGTTAAAAGTGATTCTTTACAGAAAAATCAGTGTGAGACTTATTAAAATTTACCGCAAAATAAGTTAGCAGTTTTCATGGCTTTATTGGTATAGTAATTGTTTGAAAAAGTACAGGTTATGAGTTTTTACTTTATTAAAGGGCAATGTTTTACATTTTCGTGTATGCTTGACATCACTTTGATACATTGTGTTGATTAAACTCCTACATGTATGTCCTGAATCTTAATGAGCTATAATTGATTCTAAAATTATATATTTATATTTTTTCTGAAAAATACTGACGTTGGTAGTTCATTATAATAGATACATAGTTGAAATGCTAAAAGATAACTCCTTCCTCTTTTAACTCACTGAATTAGCTATACAATACACATTAATTTAATGCACACGACATTTTCTTCAAACCAATAGTTTTGCATTATTTAGCGCTAGAAATGAGTACTAGGTGCCGAATTTAGTAAAAAAAGTAAATAAGGTAACTTGAAGAAAAATCTTCTGATTTACGATTAATATCGCAGTTGAATAAGCTGATGAATGATCATTTCAAAACTTATTTACATTAGTATGCGTGTTATCAAATAGAACAATTATACTAACCTAATATATTTGTATTGAGGCGTATTTTTAATCATTGTTTTTATCTAGGTTCCTTATTCGTCATTGGTCTTTTTTTTATTAAAACAGAAATTTTATTTTTCAGATGTACAAGACTTAGACTTTAGTTCAATAAAGATACCTAAAATGTTGAATAATCGATTAATACCAGGTGGAAGCACTGTCCCTCATGAATTGTCACAGAGTGACGATGATCCATCTATGATAAGAGATATGTTTCTAGCAAATCCAGATCAGTTGTCACTTTTAAAGCAAAATAATCCTCGTCTGGCCGATGCCCTTTTGTCGGGAAATCTTAGTAAGTTTTATTTAGAAAACTCAATTGATAAACATTCAATGTACTGAGGTTTGCTTCAACTTTACAGCAGTATTCACTGAAGTCTTAAAGGAACAAGTCAAAATAAGAGAAGAAAGACAATCTCAGAGATTACGAATGATGAATGCTGACCCTTTTGATACAGAAACACAAAGATTAATAGCTGAGGAAATTCGTCGCAAAAATATTGAAGCTAACATGGAAGCTGCCATGGAATACAATCCAGAAACTTTTGGAACTGTAGTTATGTTATACATCAATTGTAGAGTTAATGGTTACCCCGTTAAGGCCTTTATTGACTCTGGTAAGTATTTCATTTGTGTAAAACTATATTTAGAAGCAATGTCACGTATTTAAATTTTAATGAAGACATTAGGACGGTTTTTCAATAATTCATTATATGATCATTTGATCATTCAGTAACCAGTATAAAATACTGTAATTTAGTTTGAAATAACAAAACATTATTTAACACTTTAGTTTTCTCTAGAAGAGAGATAGTGCTGCCATTATTGTTTTAAGATAATACAAACAATTATTTTTGTTTTACACAGTCTTACAAGATTGATCAGAGTAAGGCTTTATGTTTTTCTGACCGTAACATATGAATAAAACTGTATATCATACTTACATCTTCTATTGTTTCGTAGTAAAATCTGTAAAAATCGTTATTTTTACTAATTCTTGCTTCATTCTTAAGACATGGCTTATTTTTTAATATTTGGAGGTTACGTCATATAATATAAACCTGTTGAATCTATATTAGTTGTCTGCATTGAACTATAATGAATGCAATAATTTTTTGGTGATTTATTTTATTAATGTACTTTATTATTAATGTACTTTAATGCGTAAGTATGAATAATTTTTCCCGTTGGTGGCGCTATTTCAAAGTGTTGCACAAAGCAAATTGATTAATTGTTTATTCTAAATTGGCAACTCCTACCCTTCAAATATTTCCTAATTATCTTTTAAACACATCGTTTAAAAAGTACACTGTTCGTGTAATAGTGAAACAATGTTTGGTATCCTTAAAAAAACAAAAACTTAAAAAAAATTCACAAAAATAATCGAATTTTGCTAGTTAAGTAATTATTTATTGTAAATTGGTGACGTATGACCTTTAAAAAATATTTTAAACTTTTTTGTACATACTGATAAAAACAAACACGCTTTAATCTTACAGTCTCGTTTGGAGTCCTTAAAAGTAAGAAAACTTATGAAAACCTACAAAATTACTCTATTTTTGCTGAATGAGTAATGATTTATTTTGGAAGGACGAAGTTTATCCTTTTAAAAATTTATTTAATGTTGTCTGTACATATTGTTCACAATGTGTATATTTTATTTAAATGAAAAAATGAAAATGTGGCAAAAGTTATGAAAATACTACATTTTTGATTACTCACTAAGTATTCATAGCAAAACAGCAAAGTGTACCCTTTTAAAATTTTTTAAATATATTCTATACATAGTCACTATAAGTTAAATATATTAATTATAATAAAAATTATTTAGAACCTTAAACAAAACGAAAACTTATAAAATTTAGAAAAATACTTGATTTTCGAAACTTAACTAGTTATTTACTGTAAAATAACATAAAGTACCCTTTAAAAAAATTATTTATAATCACATATGTACATTGTTTATAAGAAACATACTTTGTTTCATCTTTAGATGTTTGTTAGAGTCTTTTAAAGAAAAAAACCTTAGAAAAATAATGAAAATACTCGATTCTCGCTAATTGTCTAATTAATAACTACGTCCAACGGTGGTTCTAACATATTTCTGTATTTATTGAAAAACAAAAATTACGTTTCAGCCGTTTGGTTATGATTTCACATCCTTTTCGTAAGAGTCAGAGCTTTTTGTACCTGATGAAGACCGGGACGTTGTCCAAACGGCCGAAGTGTTGTTTTTCTTTTTTTAAAATACAAGAGCATGATAGTACTACCATTGGACATTTTTTTTATCATTTACCAACTGTCATTGGATGTCTTGTTTAAATAATTATCTAATTACTTATTTCAAAAAAGCATTATGGACCCGTATAAAAATTTTTTTTAATATCTCCTAAGCGTACTGTTTATAAGGTATATACTTTGTTTAGCACTAAAAAATAGATAGTTTAGAGCCCTCAGCTCAACGAAAATTTTGAAACAATCCTGAAAACACGAGATTTGTGCTAATTAGTTATCGCAAAACGAAAGAAAGATTTCTTTAAAACATTATTTAACATTATGTACATATTGCTTGTGTGGTGAATACGTTACCTTATTCTTAAAGTTTGTTTCAAGACTTCAAAAGTAAAAAATTTGGAAAAAGCTACGAAAATACTTAATTTCCGCTAATTTACTTATTATTTCTAGCAAAACGGCAAAGTGTATCCTTTCAAAAATTCTTTTAATATCTCCTTTACGTATTAATCATAACTTACATACTTTCTTTAGTACTAACATATTGTTCGAAGCCCTCAAAAGTAATAAGACTTGGTAAAGTTAACGAAAATAAAATTCCGTCTCCCACAGAACTCGTGGCTACCTACTTTCACAGCACCACAATCACAGCATTTCGATTGCCCTGATCGTTACACCAACAAAAACCACAGTAACAACGCAATAGCCGCAATAAACACAACAATTTCACTTCTCGCTTCAAAACAAAATCTCACTTCGCGTGCTTCAAAAGCCCAAGCTAATCTCCGCTCTGTTCTCTTTTCTCTTTTCCTACCTGTCTTAGCCTAACGATGATGGCTTGACGGTATTTCACCGGCATAGGGTTATTGGATGAGTTGTTTGTGAAAAATCGTAAAAATAAATTTGAAAGGTTGTTTTTGCTAAACTTGAGCACTCGAAAAAATCACATTTTCAAGTATAAGTTTTTCTAACTGTTGGAGTGATTGTGGCCGTTTCTGAATAGGCTATATCACTGGAGTTTGCTATGAATTCAAAAAGTTTAATACATTATTTGCATTTAGAGGAACGAAAGTTAAAACTTGTAAGTTTGGGAATACTGTGATGCGTAATGATTCCGGAGTTTGCAACTTAAACTCCAACGAAAATAAAAAAAAAATTTTGGTTTCTTTTTTGAAAATAAAGTCTTTAAACGCTTCAACAAAAAATGAGGAACCCTCCCATCAATTTTTTAGATAAAAAAATGTACCCGTCTCGAGATATTAGAGTTAAAAAATAAAATAGCGTAAGGAATGCGGTTCAGCCTTTAAAACTGTTGAAATAATGTTCCTATAGTGTATATGAATGAAGGTAAGTCTGTCTATGCAATAACTCATTAAAACCATCAAAAAAAAGCTCCTCGCTATGATACCGTCACGACATAGCAATGGCCCATATAACCCAATAATCCTACAAAGTTAAATAAGCTGTATACGCATGTACAAATGACTTGGAAAATGAAAAATCACCCATACCGAAACAATATTGTTAGTGACAGTACAATAAAATAACTAAAAATGTATATTTCCCGTCCTCTAAAACTAAATATATATTAAATAATTCATTGTAAAAATGACCGTAACAAACCAAAATTTCGCGACACTCTGATAAAAAAAGCTGTACGCAACTGGAGATGGCAGAAAAAATAAAATGATTGATAAGAACGCACAACAGTACTATTCGTCTTCCAAATTGTTATTTATTTAACTTATCATTGAAAAAAAACCAAAAAATTGCAACATTTCAAAAAAATCTATTATCACAAGCTGCAAGGCTACTGATAATGGATACACATTCATTTGTATTGCTTAGTACATGTAAAAGTAATAATTTTCATTAAATTTTGCGTTCTGGGGGAATTATTAATTTCTAGTATTACATCGCAAAAGTAACCAAAAAATATGGAAATTCAAAAAAATTTATTGTCACAGGTTGCACGTCACTTATAATGCATTGACATTCATTAATTACACTTAAAACATATAAAAGTAATAAGGTACAACATTTTTTTTCCCGTAATTATCAATTTTAAGTGTAATATCGCAAAAATGACCGAAAAGTACTGAAATTTAGAGGAAATTTGATATTGTTGGCTGCATGCCACTGATAATTCATAGACATTTAATAATAATACTTTAAATATATAAAAGTAATAGGTTATAACATTTTTTGTTTTCCGGAATCATTAATTTTAAGTGTTTTATGGCAAAAATGACCAACAATTATGAAAAATTAGGGAAAATTTATTATCGCAGTCTGCACGCGACTGATAATGCATAGACATTTAGTGACGTAAGTTCAATTATAAAAATTTAATAAGGCTCAATATTTTTTGTCTCTCGAAATTATTAATTTCAACTGTTATATCGCAAAAATGACCGAAAAATACGAAAACGAAGGACAAATTTGTTATCACAGGCTGCCACCACTAATAATGCATAGACATTAGGTGATATTACTTTGAACATAGAAATGTCAGGAGTCTTAACATTTTTTGTTTTCTGAAATCATTAATTTCGAGTAATATATCGATAAAATGACTGAAAAGTACTAAAATTATAAAAAATATATTATTACGGTCTGCACGCCACTGATAATGCATAGTACATATAAAAGTATTAAAAACCATCAAATTTTGTCTTAAGGAATTGTTAATTTCAAGTGTTATATCGCAAAAATGACCGAAATATACAGAAATCTGCGGGCAATTTATTATCACAGGACGCACGCCAGTGATAATGCATAGTCATTTATTGATATTATTTTTATTATTTACAAGTAATAAGTTCCATCATTTTTCGTATTTTAAAATGATTAATTTAAAGTGTTAAATCGCAAAAATGACCAAGAAATACAGAAATTTAGAAAAAATTTAGTATCACAGGCTGCACGCTACTAATTATGGATAGACATTTATTGATATTCCTGAGTTTATATAAAATATGAAAGTTTCATTAAAATACGTCTTCCAGAATTGTCAACTTCGAGTGTTATATCGCAGAAGCTACAAAAAAGTACAGAAATTTAGGGAGAATTTGATATCACAAGCTATACGCCACTAGTAGTTCATATACATTTATTGATATTACTTAAGACAAATAATAGTAATAAGTTTTAACACTCTTCGTTTTTCGAAATTATAAATTTCTAGTGTTATATCGCAAAACTAACTGAGAAGTACAAAAATTTAGGAAAAATCTATTGCCACAAGCTGCACGCACTAAAAATGCATACGCAATCATTTGTCTTGCTTGGTACATATATTAGTAATTGACAAGTATATAATAGAAATAATAGGTGACATCAATATTTGTCTTCTGGATTTGTTAATTTAAAGTGTGATATCGCA